AGTTTCCGCCAGATGTCAGTGAGTTTTTAATCATTCTATTTCTTTAATGATTCAGGAGAACGAGAGAGTAGATCGACCCAAACAGAAAACAGGTCTGCAGTAATCCTCCTCACCTATGGTAGTGCTGTGGATCAGCACCTGCTCCAGGTTGCGTCCATCGTTGTAGAGCGCCAGGTGCCACGTGCCGGGGTCCATGTACTCGATGAAGCCGGTTTCTTGCAGGCCGCTCAGCAGGAGGCCTTTGGGGGATTTGGTGTTTGAGACCGGGTCCGTCAAGGACCTGGGCAGGGCCTTCCCGTCCAGCAGCTTCACAAAGTCAAACTAAACACGACACAGAGGTGGACTTGTTATCCGGCGGCCGTTAGCAAGACTGGCTTCACAAAACTTGCATCCAGTCATCAGAAAAACCTGGAAGCCTCGCTTTGCACTTTGATGTGTGGCTGTGATGGGGTGAGTTGTGTGAAAACCAGCTGAATTAATGTCAAGAAATGGTATAAGTGTAGATGTGCATGAGACACGTAGACCAGGGATCCAGAGTAAACAAGAGAAACGTTGGAAGTCAGCACCCAAAGAGACAGGTTTCCAAGAATTCCACAAACTGTTGCAGAATGGCAGATTAACAAAAGCATTTTTTATTTACCAGGAGTCATACCATCTTGTTTTTGGTGCTAAAACTGTCAGGTGTAAGTGTGTGTGAAGGACCCAGGCTTTGAGATGGACTGGGCACCAGTCTAGAGTGTCCCCCGCCCTCCCCCCCACCTGACGGCTGCCGGAGACCGAAATACAGTAAGCCCCAGTGTGTGAATGTGTGTGAATGGGCGGATGGCTGATTGTGCTGTGAAGCGCCTTGGGGGGTTGTAGAACCCTGAGGAGGGGCTATACAAATACAGGCCATTTACCGTATACAGTGCATGTGATCTGAGTGAAGGTTAAATATAAAATAGCATTTGCATGAACTGCCATAGTGTTTGAGATGTTAGAGCCAGTGGCAGCAAACGTTGGTCTTAGTTGCCATTACCCTGACCGTTAGCTCATCAATCCGGCAGGAGGTGAATTTCAACTTAGGCGTCTTAGGAAGTCGTCAACCCCCCCCCCCCCCCCAGCACACATAGGTGGGCCCTATATGGAATAAACTGTATATGGGCAAGTCATATGGGTTCCAACAGGTTTTGTCCATGGTTGCTATGGTGGCCCCACAGAAGTTTGCCCACAACGTTTTATTTTTATATTTTTTAATGGGCCAGCAAATGAGTGAAACTCTCTGAAAACCCATGCAGGGCCCAATAAAAATGATGCCATCTTTCTGGGCAAACCCATGAGACACTGTGGAAACTGTATTCCATATGGGGCCCACTTATGTATGCTAGCTTCAAAAAGCTGAAATTGGTCGTCTGTAATAAAAAACTCCACACAGTTCATGTTTGTCCACCAATGGTGTGATCTTAAAGAAGCAACTCTCCAAATTATGGGTGCAGAGGTCCAAACGCCGTGTCCTCATCTCTGAGACACAGAACTGCAACAGATCAGCACAAAGCGACTGAAGCTGACTTTGTGTCAGACACAAAGTCTTGGAAAATCTGTTCTTAGCTCAAGAACCTGCCATGTTGGCAGGAGCTTTGGCTCACTTTACCACCCAATTTTCAAATGGAACAGACTTTTATTTCATCTGACTAAACCTTTCTTTGCTTCCTTCTCTCCTTCTTTACCCTTCCCCACCACCCTCATCTTCCTCTCGCCCCGTCTATCCATCGTCAGCCCTCCTTGAACTTTCAGCCCTCGCTGAGTTTCATTCCCCCCGAGGGCTTTGTGTCACACTAATGTCAAAAACAGCTAATTAGACCTCTTCATGCAGACAAGAGCAGAAAAGTACTGATGTTAGAATGCAGAGTTGAGTCTTTGCACTTGTGTGTGTTACATGGCACAACGCCATTCTACACTACACAGTGTGTGTTTGTGCATGCGTGTGTGTGCTTTAAGACAGAAAAATAATTGTTTCCATAAAAAAACAATGCACATCCACACTTTTCGAGTCGGCTCAGGGAAGATTTCTGTCCCTGTGGGGAGAGTCTTGTCTTCCAAATGCCTCCCCGGTTGGCAAATAGCAACATTTAACAATCACAGCCCCGATCTGGTGAGCAGAACACACAACTTTGATTACTCTACTTAGTCTGGAGGAAACAAATGGTAAAAATGGCTGTTTTACCACAGCTAAACTCACAATTAAATTGTCCTCATTTGCATATTTGCTGTTTCTGTTGTCAAAACAAGTTTGAAATGGTGATTTGTTCACGACTCATGACTGTTACCTGTTAAACAAGAAGATAACAGTTCACGCTCGGCTGCACTGACGTATCAATCAAACTGTTATTGTGTGGCCATAAATTTGCCTGACAAACATGCATAAATACAGTTTATGGGCACCTGTCTGACTACAAATCAATAATTTGAATTGTGAACAACGATTGGCTTTGAATCCCGAATCCCGAATGATATTATGAGAAATCTAAAAAGCAATCAAAACGGAAGCGGAAAATCCGAGTTAACCTGTTCAGCAGCTTATTCTGAGGCCTTGGATCTGTGTGTTATTGATTCACTGCATTAGGCTACACGGACTAGTAGTTGGTAACACTGCTACCTTGTAGCAAGATGGTTGCAGGTTTGATTCCCAGCTGCAGCCTTTCTGTGTGGAGTTAGCATGTTCTCCTCTTGCATGCATTTTCCGGGTAAAGCTTCCTCCAACAGACTAAAAATGGTACTAGCATCTCAAAAAGCTGTTTAACCAATTTATTTATAGAGCACCTTACACAGTATGTCAGGGCCCATCAATGTGCAGGAACAGGAACACAATCAAAGATTCATAAAGCAATCAAATAAAAAAATAAAATAAAAATATTAGGAATAAAACCATAAAACTAAAGAAGGCCAAAACTGACTAAAACCCAGAGAGAAAAGGTCGGCATCACAGAGAGTTTAAGTGACTGTGTTTATTTTCCATAGAGAAGGGAGGCAGTGCATACCTAAATCATTGCAAGAAGGCCTTACCAACGGATGCTCGTTAGGGTAAAAAAAATCCCTCGTAACACAAAAAACAATGTTTATGCATGGCGAAAGTTTTGTAACTGCTTGTAACAAATCAGTAAATGCATTTTGTCCTCACGGGCTCCTGCAGAAGGCATCTAAAATAGTGTCGCCCAGAGACTTAGGGTGTTTCTCAATGTCAAGGTGCCTGGCCTCTCAAAGCGAGGTCTTGCCAGGCCAGGCGCCTTGCTTACAAGGTCCTTCCTTGGTCAAAGGAAACAGTTAAATCGAACAGACCTGCATTACGTGACCGTAGCTTATGCGGCGGTCACGTGATGTCACGTGACACGGGAGATAACATTATATTTTATACATATAAGTTTCAATATAAATAAATAACGAGAGTTTTACTTTTTAAATTGTGTATATATGTGTTAAATTAAATATGTAAGCGAGTTACAACCCGCTAGCCACCGAAGCTGCAACTACTAAGCAACCAACCAACCATAGCTATCCGCTTTGGACAAAAATAAATAAATAAAATACATTTCAGATATCAGCGCGATAGCTACAATTAGTTGACTTACATTTAAACTTGAAATTTAACCCCTGAAGTAGCTGCCAGCTTCTGATCAGCCATCCTTTTGAAAATACCAGGGTGCATTCTGGGTAATTTTTGACCAAGGCTAGGCTCCAAGAGACACCTCCCGTGTGTCCTTGCTCAGCTAGCTAAACAGCATAAAAACGGAGAACAGAGGCCTCAGTAGAACATGAACATTGGATCGGCGGTTCCTGATAACGTATCTCCTAGGCAACCGGAGCAGAACCAAGACACCAAGGCAAGGTTTCTTGGCATTTAGAAACACACTTAAACTCGCTCCCATGTAGTTTAGACCTGATTTTTATGGTTAGGAAGCCACCAATATTTTTCGACAACAATTCGATGGATATTTTTAAGAGATTAACGATAAAAACTACACACTGTTTCTTTGAAAGCTAAGCCAAAAAAAAAAAGACACTGCATAAAAGTGTCTTCAAAATAATCAAACATAAACATGGTCTCCAAAACGAGACTGTCCTGTGTGTCTGAAATGTCTTTGTGCCATCTTGTTTGAGCCGCCAGGCAATCATCTTGAAAATGGTGCCAGATGCAAGGCCAGTTATACAAAACAAAACTATAAAAGTGTGTGGGTTGTAGGATGGACATTTAATTATTTCTGCTGATATTTTTCCTCTTTATCTCAAACTGAAAAATGGTAACCAAAACAAAGCAATAACTCAAAAACAAAAGAGGCAATGTGCCAAATTACATCAAAATACAAAAGAACTGTTTGACTAAATAGTCTCTAAAAACTCCTATTATCTTAAGTGGGTGGGCTACCAGAGGCACGAATTATCTCAGATTTATATGTTGATGGTACATTTGCTTCCTTTGAACAATTGGTGGTTAAATTCCAGCTCTTTAGGTTCTTGCAACTGAGACACTTTGTTAAAGAGCAAGTCACCCCCAAATCAACTATTTTTTTCTGATAAACTATATAAATGCGTGTCTAATCGTGCTGCAGACACGTGTAGTCAGTAGTTTTGCACTTTAGTGCATTTTAGTTAAAATTTAAATTTTCTGCCTGAAACTGTCAGTGTTGTGCCGTTGTCGGGTAAAAACTCTTCACTGGATTTGAATTTAAATCTGCCACCGCTATTGGCTAAGAGGTATACTATGATGTAAACTGGTACATTATGATGTCACAATGTTGTGAGTGTGTGTATTTGTTAGTGGCTCCACCCTCTCAGTCTGCCAAGCAACAGCATTTGTTGCATTTTTCAAACATGAAGTGGGAGTGAAGTACGCTTCTTGTAAGGGGTGACTTGCTCTTTAAAGAGACAATGTGTAGTTTTACTGTTAATCTCTGGAAATATCCATCAACATGTTGTTGAAAATTAATTAAATGATGTCCAGTTGTTAAAAATATTTGCAGCTTTGTAACATATAACCATACAATCAGGTCTGAAATACATGGGCACGGGTTTACGTCTCTGAGCGAGTCCATGTTTCCTTCTACGGGAGCCCGTGAGGACAAAATGAATTTACTGATTTGTAACAAAGGGTAAAACGCTGTTTTACACATTTACATCTTCACTCATTGCCAGTGATGAAGAGGAGCCTGACGTGCTTGTCATTTAGCTGGAGGTTGCACTCCCAGGGATTTCTGACCCTAAAGGCCTTCCGTTGGTAAGGCCTTACTAAAACACAAAATGCTGCTTGCTTGCAATGATTTAGGTATGTAACCTTAACCCTAACCCTATCACCAGGGAAATTCCACATCGACGCTTTAAGTTTGTTTCTGAATGTTTTCCTCTGCGCCCGTCTCAAACTCTTCTCAATGAGATTTTAGACTGTTGGACAACTTCTAAAAAAAGTTCTGATTGGACTTCATATCCGGCTCAGCTCGCATCATCAGACCGGTCTGGATGTCTTGAAACAGAAACGGGAGCTGGACATGGGTGTTGGATTGTTAAGTCTGGTCTGGCACAAGGCTCTGAGGAACACAAGTCCTCAGTTTTTGTGAGACACGGAGTCAGTGCAGTCAGTGGTGTACTGCTTGCCTTGGTCCACAGCCAGACCTGGACCTGGCATGCGAGTGTTGCAGACCTGCCACACGTCATCTGGACTTATAGTTATCGGCGGTCTATATTTGATGCTCTTTCCAAGATATGTGGGATGACTTTACACACAAGTTCTTTGATTGCTTTGTCTTTTTTCACTTAAAGCATAATGAACGAACGGGATAAAGAGTCACATGTAACAACAACAACAACACAAATAGCCCTTCTGGTGTTTTAGTTCTTAGGGCTCAGGCTGACAGAGGGCTTGCACAGAGCACACTGCTGCATCATTGTTTCCAAAAAAACAGAGTGACAAAATATTTCCCACATAGTCATGCCAGGTTTTCTCACCTAAAGTGCCATTTCTGTGTGAACAAAAAGGTGCAAACGCAGCTCTAATTTTCGGTTTCATAAAAATATCTGTAGTAGTGTAGACAACCCCTGAGAGAAAAGTGGGTGTATTAGTGTGGATCTGAGTGGCAGCTGAGCTAAAGCAGCCCATCTGGATGAACAGCGTGCTACAACAGGAGCCTACTCTACCTGAGTGTGCGTAGGCGGGATGTTCCTGCGTCCGTAGACCCCCAGCAGAGCGTTGTGTGAAAGTGAGAGATTGAACTTGATGTAGGTCGGATGGAGCACAGTCATATGAAACCTCCAGAAAAGTCCCGGCGGGATGGCCTGGCTCTGCTGTGTGCTGACGTCGATCTCGCCTCGGTCGATGGCGCGGCCTCGCACCCACTTCTCTGCAAATGAAATATGAAAAAATTAGATAAAAAAAAGAGTCACAAACAGGTGAAAAGTGCCCACTCACATGTGGTGGATTTCTCCAGGTGGAGAAGAAGTCCTATTCAGTATCAGAGGGAGCAATTAATAACCGACCCAGTGTCCTATAACATCAGCAGGATCAGCAGCACTGCTAATTAAGTGAGACTGAATAGATGTCTAAAAGACTGAGCACTGCTAAAAAAGATGCTTTTAAAGATATCAAGCTTTGGTACTCCTCTGGGTCCTCCGCGCATGAAGATGAAGTGCTTTAGAAAGGCGGTGCTCAGTCTGAGAGCTGTCTACCGGGCCTTTGTCGTGTGCTGTATTAGCATCTTCTAACAAGAAAAAAGGATGTGTGTGTGTTCGCATGTGTGTCGAAGTGAAAAGAATGGTGTGGACGAGAAAAGTGAGGAGACCAGAGACACACACCCACCCAGATGTGATCACATGCATTCACAAACAGCACATCCAGATGGTGTCTTGACAGAGAGGATGTCTTTGTGTGAGGAGAGAATGGGTCTCTGGCCATCAGCTCCTCTCCTCTCCATGAGCCTTTATCAAACTCCGGGCCCGAGTCTTTTGTGAAGAGGGGGTGATCTCTCCAGCCCTCTTTGTGTTGGACTTTATGGAGAGATATATCTCTGCTTCTAAACTAAGGAGGAAATATGTTGACAGAGGGGAGCCGGCCGATCGTTACCGCCACAAAGGCAGAGGAACAGTTAGGGGCAGATTCATGGACGAGTCCGCTCGCTCTCATTCTATAACGCCCGCAGCTCGACCACTCCATTATGGCGACACCATGCGCGCCCACAGGCGGGGCGGCATATATCACATGTCCTGTCACACACAGAGAGAGAGAGCTAAAAAGGAGGTACGGTGCAGCCACGCTGGCAGTGGCTCATGGAAAGGTGGGTCTGTCTGACTTCTGCTGGCCCCTCTACCTCGTTGGGTTCAGATGGGAAGGTCAATCAGATCAAAGCTTATTTTATTGTCCCTGTGGGCGGACATGTTATTGGACTACAAAGTGGAAGGATGCTAAGTTAGACAATTGCCTATTAAAACCCATTAAAGTTACAATATGGATTTAAGTTTCTGTCCAGCTGTAATTCTGTACTAAATGTGTGACTCAGCTACCATTCTAGTGTCGAGTTAAACACGTGACACACTGACACTGACATCCACTGACCACTCAAATAACACGGAGCTAAACGATGCTGCTGCTTGCAAAAGCTCACATAGACCCCTTGACACGCCAAACCCCCAGCCCCCCAGATTCTGGCTAGAGGGCAAAAAGACGGCACACCCCCGTAGGCCACCGTTATTATGTGTTAGTTGGCTCTCAACTGAGAAGGCTGTTGTTGATTTTGTGTCCAGGAGAGAGTAGAGCAAGGGTGTTTCTCAATGTCAAGGCGCCTGGCTCTGCGAGGCAATGTCTTGCGAGGCCAGGCACCTTGCTTACGAGGACACTGTCCTTCCTTGGTCAAAGAAAATGGCTAAATGGAACAGACTTGCATCACGTGACCAGGGCTTCTACGCCGGTCACATAACGTCACGTGACACGGGAGATAACGTTATATTTTATACGTATTAGTTTCAATATAAATATATAAGTGACTTGCTACCCGCTAGCCACCGAAGCTGCAACTACTAAGCAACTAACCAACAATAGATAACTTCTTTGGATCTAAAAAAAAAAAACATTTTAAATTAGTTGACTTACTTTTAAACTTGAAATTTGCCCCCAAAGTAGCTGCCGGCTTCTGATCCGCCATCCTTTTGAAAATGCTGAGTAATTTTTGACCAAGGCTAGGGTACAAGACACCTCCCGTGTATCCTCGCTCAGCTAGCTGAACGGCTAACAAACGGAGAACACACGCCTCGGTAGAACATGAACATTGGAACAAGGCTTGGCGGCTCCTGATGACGTATCTCCTAGGCAACCGTGGCAGGGCCAAGACATCAAGGCAAGGTTCCTTGGTATTGAGAGACATCCCATGTCTCTGCTAGTAGAAGCTAATCGTTAGCGTTAGCAACTCAATAATATGGCAGAACTCCTTCAGGGTTGAGTTATTTGTGTAGATAAAACATCAATATCTGAATATCAGGAAATATGACTCCAAAAACTGCCGTATTCTACTCACCTCTCGTCTGGATCTCTTCTAGATTTTAACCTATACCTCATGAAAGAGGAGAGGCAGAGCTTTTTACCTACAGAGGCATTAATTAATACTACAGACCACTGCAATTGTGTAGAAAGGAAAAGTGAACTTTGACGTTTCATCTTGAAATATGCTTCAAAAAATTAAACCTTCCCTATTAGTGGTTTGTTATGGTTTGGCTTCTGTCTGCAATAATAAGTTATTGTTTAATACATCTCAACTGTATTACCTTTGGCATGGCTGTAGCCTCAGGTAGAGGCTACTAGCCTGGCCTGCCAGACTTCTCCTCTCTTTAATTCTGCACAAAGAAAGAGTCTGGTAACTCACAGGCAGAGAGGCACATGAGGGGCGGGACTAGGCAGCCAAAAATAACCAATCAGAAAGAAAGACGGAAATGCGGACTCTACCGCGTGACGTTGTAGTTTTTTAGCTGTAGTAATAAAAGACATCTGGCGACGGCGTAAACATCTTTTGTTTTTGTTTTTTTAGAAGAAATGCTTTTAGCGCTTCTACTTGTTTTAAAGACGTGTCTAAGTAGTTTAGAACAGGGTAAAGAGCCGCAGCGAACTCTGCTTCAGTTGCCATGTTTATGAGAAACTCGGTGTCGTGGTGTGTGACGTACGCTGCTCAGTGCTGATTGGCTCGGTTAGAAAACGGGGTGGGGTTATTTTAATAGGAGAATTCCCAGACCCTTTCTCTGTGCAGAATTAAAAAGAGAAGGAATCAGGCAGGCCAGGCTAAGAGGCTACAGCTCTGACAACCTGGCAGCTGTTGGGAATTTTGCACATTAACTATCCACAAAGTTTGTTTAACAACCAGCGGTGGATAATTTTGTCTGTCTTTGTTGTAATTAGTGTATTCCTGCTTTAATCTTGAGAGCAACTCCTTTATTAAACCACTGATGAAGTTCAAAACATTGCGATTACTCTTTTAATTAACTGTTCTTTATCTTTTTCATTTATCTTTCTTTATGCATGACAGAAATGATTTGTGATGTCCGGATCAAAATGTTGTGTATTATTTACATCTTAATGATTACATTACTGATGAAACCAATTCTCTTATTTTGCTCTTCTTTCACGCCGCATACTTGCAAACAATAGACCATGAAACTAATCAAGATTGTTAAAATCAATGGATGTGAGTTTCTTTAAAGGATCACGGTGCGTTGAGACCGATTACCTTTACATATCAAGGAGGTTTTTTAAATCTGCAAACAGATGTCTTAATAAGCTCATGTCTATTTTATAAACCCTGTTTTAAACAACAGTCATTTGTGTGTGTTACATAAAACAGCTGCAAACTATAGTTGTACAAACTCAGGATGTATAAAAGTCAGCTAGTGATGCTTATGGTGTTGATAAACCGCACCTCTGAACTAAATTTAAAACAGGTGATCTGTTTTATCTACGTGACTGAAAGAAGGGAAGATGAAAGATAGTGTTGTGTTGTTTTACTGCTAACTGGACATCTTTTTCATGTAAAAATGGAAGATTTTGACTTTAATCAGAGCAAATGTGAAACTAACTGTTTAAAGTTGAAGTTCCATTAATTCATCATACACTGGTGAAATATATCTCTGCGTTTTACCCATCCCCATGGGAAGTGGTGAGCAGCAGCTTTGGGAACTTTTTGGTGGTTACCTCCCAAAATCCAACCCCTTTAAAGCTGAGTGTCAAGTAGGAAGATACTGGGTCCCATTTTGAAAGTCTTGGGTAAGATCTGACCGGGATTTGAACCCTGATCTCCTAGTCCCAGGGTGAACACTCTATCACTAGACCACTGAGAAGGTACTTTCAACCTTTCAACCTGGTACTTTCAACATTTATATTGATTGATGATCTCCTTGAGCCCACCTCTTGGTGTCCTACACTGCCCGGCTAAAAGAAAGAAAGAAAAAACCTCACCACTCAGATCGAAAAGCAAATAGGTGCAAGCTTCCTATTGGATAATTACTGCATGAGCGATTATCTTTCAGCTGCAACAAATTATTCAACCCCAACTGGTGCAATGAGTTCCTTCTCATTTCTTAAACAACCATGTGGAAAGACACTTCTGGTGATCGTATAAAAGATGTGTCTGTTTGAGAAGGGTCAGATCATTGGCATGCATCAAGCAGGAAAAACATCTAAAGAGATACAGACATGACCAAAAATTGGGTTAAGAACTCTCCAACGCATCATTAAAACCTGGTCTGACGAGTCCAGATGGATCCTGTTCCAGAGTGATGGTGCATCAGGGTAAGAAGAGAGGCAGATGGAGTGATACACCCATCATGCCTAGTGCTTACTGTACAAGCCTGTGGTGGCAGTGCTATGATCTGGGCTTGCTGCAGTTGGTCAGGTCTAGATTCAGCAACAGGATGTGCTCCAAGAATGAGGTCAGCTGACTACCTGACTACACTGAATGACCAGGTTACTCCATCTTCCCTGATGGCACGGGCATATTCCAAGATGACAATGCCAGGTTTTGTCGAGCTCAAATAGTGAACGAGTGGTTCAGGGAGCACGAGACATCATTTTCACATATGGATTGGCCACCACAGAGTCCAGACCTTAACCACAGAGAGAATTTTTGGGATGTGCTGGAGAAGTCTTTGTGCAGCGGTCAGACTACCATCATCTATGCAAGATCTGGGTGAAACATCAGTGCCACACTGGATGGAAACAAACCTGGTGACCTTGCAGAAGCTTACTGAAACAATGCCACAGTGAATGTGTACCGTAATCAAAGCTTGGTGGTCCAATGAAATATTAGTGTGTTACCTTTTTTTTTTTTTTTTGGTGACTTTTTCTTGGTCATGCATTGTATTACAGCAT